TTGACAGCCAATAGTAAGTGCCGCTAACATCCATCGCGAGAACACCACGCAGCTGTTTTGTTTACATTTACTGACTCGTTTCGTTGGACGGACTATAATCATCGACGATACGGTATAAGGTGAAGAAGACAAAAGCAGCAGATAAATGAGTTAAAGAAATCAACACACAATTGCGTGTTGAAAACAAAATCAGCGCACAATTATGAAACTTACTCTGCACTGTATTATAGTCAGTTACATGAATTACCTTCATAGTATCATTCCTTTTTATTAGAATTGAAATATTAAAACATAAATTTTTTCGTACAATAGGAACGAGAGAACAAGCGTTCGTTTACGCAATGTCGGCTGCAGCAGCAGTTTGGAGGCTTGCAAGAGGATGTGCTTTGGGTAATCTCGCAGCTTGTTCTTGTGCTACTCCTCCACGAAGGGAACCACCATCGCCGTCTGCATTGATTTCACCTTCGTCCTTTACCGCCACCTCAGTTTCATTTGGTTCACCGTCAATCAAAAATTCCTTCAAATGGGGAGGTTGCGGCGACGACGTTAGATCAGCGTCGCGAATAGCCAAGAGATTTCTTCAGGGTGCAACTCCTCCTGGAACAGGCGTAACAGCAAAATTTATGCACGCTGTTAACATGCACAACAACCGTGCTGGCCGAAGGGTAATTAAATATTTTTATTAATATGCAGTAATTACAAAAAGTAAAAATAAAATGTACATTTTAAGAAAAAAATTAATTAATACAATACGTACATAACTCTAATGCATACTGTTACTGTAAGGCAGTAGAACAGTCCTTAACCCTGGAATGTAAATGCCATGGAGTGTCTGGATCGTGTAGTGTACGTACCTGCTGGAGAGGACTTGGCTCTTCAGGACCAGTTGCCGCTGGCAGTCGTTTACTTCGGAGATACGCAACAGCAGTAGAAGTTCGATCGAGATCAGGAGGAAGGTTACCACCTTTATATCATCATGATAATCTCTTATATACCACCAAAAGTCCTGACTACTGTCTTCCTGATAAAAAGAGGGGTAGCCTCGGAACTGTTAGCAGGTAAATATGTGTTATGAATTAATAAAACTAGTAAAAAGTACAGTAACCCCTTTCTCGTCCAAGAATTCATTCTCCCGCGATTTTAGTTATCTTCAAACTTGAGTAATACAATCAGCTAGCTGTAGATTCTTTATGCGAAAACAAATTGAATATTACTTTAGCGTTTTGTGACTTGCGGCATCGGTTTTGAGATACATCCGATATTGTTAGGGGATTGGCTCAGCTGGGGTAATTTAATACACAAGTGTCCGTCAATTCCTCCCACTCACCGGTAGGATTGCCCCAGATGCATTTGTAATAACGACGCTATTGGCAGTATTGCCAGGTTCGATGGTTTATCAGAGTTTGGGCGACTTTCATGTACTATGCAGAGATGAGAAGATGACTAGCGGGATGGCATAGGGGCAAAGGGAGCACTTCGCACACTCCGCCCTGTCCAACAGTGGTTCGAATGGCTGAATTAGGCGAACAAAACTCATTTTCAAATTAATAAAAACTAATTGTTTCTATGTAATCTATAATAACCATAGGTTAAAATTCTTATATTGTAAGACCTTCCAACCTTTTCGTAAATGTGTACAGACCAGGCAAAGTACGATGTAAGAGTGGACAATTCATCACTAATCAATCGAGTGCATTTCCATGGTCGATAGGAATATGTTATAAGTTTGTTAAAATGCACTTAAGTTTCATATTGATGATGAATATAGCAGCTGAAAAGGTATATTTCAGTTTTAATCACCCCAAACCATCAATACCTTTCTTGTATTTTTGTAAATCTAACTTCGACTTAAGTTATTAATTCGTATCAAAAATTTTCATAATGTAACGAATCGTCAATGAAGAAGTATATACCGCAGTTCACCAGAGTCCATAACTGCGAAAAGACCAGTTTTCGTTCTTCGCGCTTCTCCAGTGCGCATCTTCGCCCTGATTGGCGATACTCCCAAACGAAGTGGAAAGCGATTAGCAAAGAGCTCGCTGCGTTCCCCCACCATCTTCCAACCTGCGCGTCGCAGTTATGGACTCTGGTGAACTTCGGTAAATGTTCCATGTCGTTCCACGCTATGAAAGTTGTACCTATGAAAAGTAGAGATTGTCTGCTTTATTTTAATACCATACTCGACTTGCAAAACTTTGCAAAAGTATGCTAAATGTTAAAATGAAGTTAACGCTGACGCCCGTGATATAATATGTATATACCAGTACAACCGATACGCTCGTTACTTACTTAGTTAATGATTTCTTTTTATAATTCACAGTTTCGTTGTTTTTAATTGTGGTTATTGTTATCTTGTTTTTTCTCTTGTGTTTATTTACCGTTATTGTTATTATTGTTATTGTTGTTATCGCATTATTACCCCTGCGACGATCCTTATAAATGCCATCTGCTTCGTCTTCGCCACATGGCGGTACCTATCATAAAGTAATTCAGAATTTCTGTCGTTGTAAATGAATTCACTATCCTTAAAAATTCTGAGCTGGCCTGTAGTAATTAATTTATGAAGCCATAAACTGCCGCACATCGCCTTCTTTCTGCAAATGTTTTTGCGACGGGTAACCCATGTCTTTTATTCCTGGATTTTCATTTCAAACAATCAATCGAATCGAATCATAGTCATCGTCGCCAGTCAGTCACAAAGTTTTTATCGTACCTATTGGGCAAATGTCGGAAGAGGCTCAAGAAGCACGCCATAAAGATTGCCGCAGATTCAGAGAGAAACATACCAAAATTACAACACGATCCGATACTAATTGAGAGTTGCTAACAATGTTATTAGTTACCTCCGACCTGTTAATAAGTACCTTTCGTGAAGTGTCAAAAAAACTCAGCTCGTTAAGCGTCGAGGTACTTGAACTATTAGAAAAAGATACGGAAGTAAATGACTTGCAAACAGAAGTTGTTAGCACTGCTGCTGATAATGATGAGCAATCATCAGAATTTACTGAATGTTCTTCGGGTACTGATGACTCAAGTAGTGAGTAGGTTTAGTTTGTAATACAGTTTACATAATCAGTCATAGCTCATAGTTGAGATTAAATAACGTACTTGTTCTTTCATTATATTTATTGATTATTATGTATTGTGTATTATCATTTCTACATTTTTTTTACTTTATAGCTACAGTGTAATACCATAATTTTGTTTTTTTTCCTTTAATTAGTCATATTTTTATGTCACAACTTATTCTAATGATAAGAACCCCAAATAAGCCAAAAAACATGAAAAAATAGTTTTGTACAGCTAGCACCTTAGTGTTCGAACCACTGAATTGATCCTCGCATTAAAAGTTCATCGCAACGCTGACTTCGTATCATCTCACTTTGTTACGAGGTCTCATTTTCCTTCTGTGTCAGGCGACGCGATTAGTATGCAACCACATCGGCCAATAATGCGCGACCATCTAAAATACGTGTGCGTGATGTGTGATTTATCGTTATACCACCAATCCTAACCGCATTCCTTCCGCTCGTCATCTTCTCATCTCTGCGTAGTACAAATAATAGTAATCTATTTGAAGAAACCGCAAGTCGCAAATTGAGCAATTTCGAATTCCGTGGGTTTTAATTATTTTTTAATTCACTACCCTTTATGCTGGTAACACAACTTGTGAAATTTATGACAGGTATAGTGAACCGCAAATTCATGGTCCTTTTAAACCAGAATAAATTTCTTAAAATTGAGCGATTTGAATCTTTTTGAAGAGCTAACAAATAGTGAAGGTTGTCTTTTAAATAAAACTTTAAAAAATACTTTTTGTAAATGTAAGAATATTTATTGCGGTAAATAAAGCAATAAATTACAAAATGGAATCATTTCGTTGAAATTGAGATACGTTGTGACTTTTGAAAGCAAAGTGGTACATTGATCAAGGAGTTTGACGCCACATCGACGCGCTTTCCTTCGTTATACACATCACTTCTTTTTATTATGATTATACGTAATTTTTTTTTTAAATACTGACAGATTATTTTTTAACGATAAAATTGATTGTCCTTTCTTTAATTTATCAAGACCGAACTAAAAATTTATCAAAACATAACAAGGCAATATTAATAAATTTATTCTTTATTATTTCAGACAATGTAATGGTAGCAGTACGGGTTACGAAAGTTGCGAGTATCTTTGTTGCGGCCGAGGTCATACAACTAAAACGGAAGAAGTTCTAGAAAGATGTGACTGCAAATATATTAGCTGTTGCTATGTAAAATGCAAGACCTGTAGGAGAATCGTGAAAACTTATGAGTGTAAATGAAAACGTAAAACCGAAAGATTTTTAATTAAAAAGAGTCCTTATTATATCTGAAATAAGAAGTTAACTGTACTCGTGAAGTCATCCATTATTGTATAAACAATCATTCAATTTATGTGAGGGTGTTAATTGTTCTTATCTGAAACAATTGAAAAATGAATATCTAGTTTCAGCTGTCCTTAGCAACTGTCGTATTTATAGTAAAAAAAAAAAAAAATTAAGGACCGTGTATTGAAGATTATTTAATTTGACAAAAAAAAACTTAAATATTAAACATTACGAATTATAATAAGATACTCGTGGAATTCTCGTTTATCTTCTCTACTATTTATTGATTTTCTGTCCTTGATATGTCGTGAGTTATAGCGTTGTCAATTAATATTTTCCAAAGTATTGTCGCATTAGAGTGTACACTAACGGACAACACTGTTTCAGCTATATATTAGACGTAGACATAACCAGTGAAATGTAAATAATTTGCTGAATTTATGTAGTTTATACTAAAAATTATATTCTATTAGCATATAATTAGCATTTCTATGAGCATCAATTTATTATTCCCAAAATAATTATTGATTACACATTTCAGTGTACATAAATTGCAAGTAATTGTTAAGAAGTATAATTTCCATAAAATCATTCGTGCATTTGTTGAAGATATATATATTCTTATAATTTGCAGTTATAATTTCCGAAAAATAGTGATTCATTGCACAAATTTGTTACATGGATTGCTGGAAATATTCATGTTTGAAGGTTCATAACTTTCATCTTCTTTTTCGTCTTTAATATCTAATTCCTTTAGAAAAGCACACCAATTTATAGTAACTAGAGTATCTGGTTCCTTTTCCGATGCCCACCAAAGTGCCGACTGAAATAACAGATTTGTATTGTAATATGGATATTTTTGAAAGATGTGCATGAATTTCTAAAAATAATTATGTAAAAAGAACGTCCGTTTACCTATTCATTATTTGAAATAAACAAATAATCATGTAACAAACAAAATATTTTTTGACATCAGTTGTATTTTTAAGTTCAAAAGCTTGATTATTGTGCAAAAAATAAAATGATTGCAATATTTGCAATAATAAAAACAATCTATGATAATACCTTGATGTTTATTGGTTCTACTGGAGGAACAGGATCAATTTTTGTGTTCATGAATTTCAATAAGTCATTGTAGTCCACTTGATTTTCCTCGTTTTTATGAATGCTGCATTATTATTAATTAGTGATATTTTTGTTTGTTCACAAATACAATGAAACATACATATATACATAAAAGTAACAAAAATGTACATTAAAATAAATAAAAGGAAGTTAAATCTCCTATTTAAAATGTTTTAAAGTCACAATTATTATTATTATTATATAATTCAATAAACTTGTTTCCCTAAGAAGGGTTCTTATCAAAGGAAAAGTTCAATAGTTACTATTATAAATATTTGGATCAAGAATGATTCATAAAACACAGAAAAAGTACAATGCTACTTTATAACTCAGAAACAAAATCCAACAGAATAAGTACTTATATGTGCATCCTACATTATTTTGATGTATAGCCATCACAGAAATATAGCATGGTCATATTAAGTACGTAAATAACAAAAATTTTTCACATGTTAGGCAAGGCTCGTAATTTGTAATAGTGGAGCTGTAACAATGCCAATAAAAAAAATCAATATAGATTGAAAAATATATATCATTAATAAAACTATAAGTAATGATTTAAAAAAATCTTTAGATAAATATACATAAATTTAATAGTGACGATAATAAAACAGGAACTTTCATTTTATATTGGAGGGACTGCAGTTCTGCAACCGATATGGGCGGTAGACCCGATTGAACTTAGAGATACATATGTACTATCTACATTACCCAATCGACACACGCCGATTTTGATGCTCTTTGAGTATGATATAGAACTCAAAAAAATATTTGACACGTATTCTTTTTTATCAGCAATCGTCCATGCTGAAGGGGTGAAAAAAATGACAAAAATAGATTATTTTTCAATGTATTTTTTAAACAAATAAATTTATCAAAAAGGTGGCTACATAGAAAAATTTGCTGTTCAAAAACACACGAATTCCATTTTCAATTTTTCGCCTACACCTAACAGTTCCTGAGATATTCAAGAAAATATGTTTTGCAACCCTAACTTTGAGGGCTATTTTCACCTCTTCAGCATGGACGATTGCTGATAAAAAAAAATACGTTTCAAATATTTTTTTGAGTTCTATATCATACTCAAAGGGCATCAAAATCGGCGTGTGTCGATTGGGTAATGTCCCTTGTTAGTGTCACAGATGCATCGACCCCTATTGTACACTTGTCAGCAGCCTTTCAATATAAAGAAATTGGTGACTTATAATGTAAGGATATAAGGTGTCCTTTCGCAGATACATTTTCGTCTTCTACGACGCAATCTTACTTTCCGCCATATTAAAATATGGTGGGATTGTATTTTCTACATTGTTGTATATACTGGTCAGGAAACTCCTTTGAGGGAGATTCCTTTAATGTAGCACAAAGTTTTTGTGAATCTTTCATTATCCACGCATTGCTGTTTACATAATGTACATCTAGCTCAGGCATGGGCAGCTAGCAGTATACGGAGCCGGAGCGCTCCCAAGCGCTCCGGAGCTTGGCGGTGTCACGTAGAAAGTTCACAGGATTTTAAGAAATAAATGAATAGTATACTTTTAAGAGTTTGGCACTTTATTTTATAGTATGATTCCGACTAACTGCCTGCTTATGTCCGGTGAGGTCTTTTTATAATGTAGTTGGTGGTGGAGAAGGGGGCCGATGATTGACAGGGTGGGGTGTCCGTGCGAACGCGTCTTATCGAATATTTAAGTAGGTGGTCGTAATATGATGTTTAGGTGTCCGGTCGTGAAGAGTTCGGCACAAGTTTAGACTATGGGACATGCCCCGCAAGGGTGTGTCCTATATCTTTTTGTAGCTTATCACATAAAGTGTTCATATATGTGGTTCATAAGTGTCATAAATTTTTTTTTAAGTGACACAATACTTTTTTTTTAAAAGTAAAATTCCAGCCCTTTGTCATGTGCCCTGCTTAAGAGGGGGCGTCTCCTATAGGACATCAAAACTGTGTAAAAAAAAAAGGAAAGTTGCAAGAAAATTGTAAGAAAGGTTGCTTATTACATTAAAAAAGAAGATCAATGTTTCATTCACAAATTTTGAATGTTCTGATCTTTTACCCCCCCCCCCCCCCCCCCCCCCCCTCATAACTCCTGACTCCAACGCCTCCTACAAGTAAAACCACCACCACTGTGTCCCCGACCCCCTCTATTGTTTACAATAGGAGGGGCCCCCCTCTTAAGCAGGGCACATGAAAAAGGGCTGGAATTTTACTTTAAAAAAAAAGTATTGTGACACTTAAAAAAAAATTTGTGGCACTTAAGAACCACATATATGGACATCTTATGTGATAAGCTACAAAAAAATATAGATCACGCCCCCAGGGGACGTGTCCCGTATTCTAAACTGCAGCCCTTAGCGCCTTTTTATGCGATTACCTTATTGGTTGACAATCCAATATGCAGGATTTTAGGAAGGATACGTTATTAAGTAATCTAGAAGAGTGCACGAGAGCACATCTTATATCCTTACATCATTGAGCGACTTTCCATTAAGTGTCAGTATCGTGCTTTTGTTGCAACATGCAGTCTTGAGACGATCTAAAACAGGCCTGGCCAACGCGCGGCCCGCCACGTTAAATTGTGCGGCCCGCCGGGCGATTTTACATTTCTCTTGAAATTTTTATTTCTCGTTGTATGTATACAAAAAATATTAAATAAATGAAAATTTTCATGTGTCACTGTTATAATGCGCAAGTACGACTACGAACTCCAGTTCTATATTTGATATCCACGAACGTCAAATGTTACTGAAAGAATCTGTTTCATTAGGCAACCATCGGTAACGTTCATCTGTCATTTGAATGCAGTTATGAACGAACGAATTCTTTTGTCTCCGTGAACAGTGAATTAGGAGTTCTCGGAACCAACAGTTCGTTATTTGTTGCAGCGCGAACACCAAAAAACCACTACGCACACGCTCGGATCCGTTTTATTACATTTTTTAAAAGCATGTTTACCTAAAGTGCGGCCCGCTGTAACGTTATGCACCATCAAAGTGGCCCGTGAAACCATTTGAGTTGGCCAGGCCTGATTTAAAATAACGCACGATGGGTAGCGTCCCTTAATGGCTAATATCAAACAGTTATTATTAATTTACATACTGATCGAGCATGGAATTTATAAGTTCAATATCAGCTGGGATTCTAGCCCCGCGAAGTACTGCAAAAATCGTATCACGAGATAAATATCCTGTTTTTTTTCTATCCCAATGATGTAAATCTTCCTGTAAACGATCAAAATCATCCCACAAATTTCGCAAAATTTCTGTATGTATTAATCTCCTGCAAAATAAATAACACTTTATGTAGATTGCTCAATAATATTTACATTAAAATTTATTACCTTATATATTCTCGGTTATATAATTCTTTTCGTTCAGGACATATAAAGTGTCGAGCGATTGTAATTACTTCATGTTCTGTCAATCTTCCTTCAGAATATTTGTATAAAGCATTTCTAAAATTCAAACAGATAATAGCAAAACAAGTATCTAACATTTTTGGAAATTATTAAAAAGAAATTAATTATAATACCTGAAATCTTCATACGACAGTACTTGATAATCCCCGTTACATGATTTCGAAGGTGTGTAAAGTTGTATAAATTCTTTATAAACTGGTTTTAAAATTTGTCGTAATTTATCCATAATTAACTTGGCATTAGCTTTCGGAAACTTAACAACAGAAATAACGATTATTTTAGAAAACAAAACCAGATCATATTTTTATGAGTTAGTACAACATAGATAAATGACGACACCTTATCGCAATGTAATTCCATGTAGCGAAGAGCATAAATGTCAGCCGAAGTAAGTTCAAAACAAAAACCGTTTAATATTATACGGGCTCCAACATAGAAATCTTCCGACTTATAATATTTCGGTTTCTTACTTGTAAATATCTCTTGATTGGGCAACATAACTTGTGTTTTCTGTTGAAACAGACCGGACTTAAAACCTATGAATAATACGAACATGAATATAGGGATGAGCACGCTAATTTTAATGAAAAGAAAAGGCGATTCGCTGAAGAGGAGGAGGAAAAGGAAGTGGAGGAAGGAGAAAAGGAGGAGGATATAGCAGGAACTTCTAACAATAAGTTCCCTATCATGATTGCTGACACGATTGTTGGTATTAGATACTTTTCACTGGAATCTTTTAACGTTAATAAGTAAAAAACAAAGTGGCGAACGCTGTTTCATGACTCTTAACTTTTGTCTTATTTTGATCCCAAGAATCATCTCTTAAAATTTATCCCACTTGTTGTCGAAAACATTGTATAAGTAGAAAATAAAAAAATTTTCTTGAGATGAAAAGGTTTAATAAGAATACCTGATTATAAATATTCTTATGGAGTATTAAAATTTTAGAAAGTAGATGTAAAATATAAATTATGTTTTCTGAAAAGGACGTTGGTAATAAAAAATGTAGCAATCGAAAAAACAAACGGTGTTTTGTCTCGGGATCGTTTGTCAGACACATCGGTCAGTGAGGCTAACACAACAGACGATCCCTACCCCAGACATCTATCACACCGCCGTTAAAAACTTGTATTTATTCAAACCGCATGCCGGGCAAGCGCTTGCGAGAGACCGTTCACCTCGCCGCCACCTAGCGGTCCCAGGCCCGAACTCAAGGCGTCCGGGGAGACGAAAGCCCTCTACTAAACGATTGCGACAAAAATTTAAACAATGGAGGTATGAAAAGAATTGTTACCTGAATTCCTTTTCCCCAATTCAAAAATAGAAATTGTGTCGTCCATAAGAAAAACTCTGATAATAAACGATCTATCTTTATTTTCCGGTATATCCGATATTAGTTTCGCTCTGAATCTCAAAATGTGGCTATCTAAACCTTGCCTGAAAGTAAACAAGAAAATAAGCAGATGATCCCAAGTGAAAAATATAACAGCAATAATATTTTACAGTATTCATACTTATCGTAATGTAAAAATTTAATAATATCTATTTGCGGTGGCTTTGGTAATACACTGAAACAGTTTCCAAGGGAATCTTCGTACGAACCAAAGCCGTTGTAAGGTGGAATATATTTTTCTACTTCTCTACAAATCTCGTCATTTTTTCGAGGTCTTTCCAAAGGTGTGAAATCGTTCAAACCATATTTTTGCCTTTGACATAATAAGAAGAACAATAAGCATATTTAATTATAGTAATATGTAATGAAATTTTACTGAAAATATATTGCGCAAGCCTATATCGGCTCTTTACCGTTAGCTTGTAACTTATTGTTAATTTAATTTTCAATAGGAAGAAACGGTTCCGATTTGAAAAGAATCACGGGTTTTTTCCAACATCATAAACTACCTAATTTGCAGTCAATAGTTCTGCAGCTCAGAAGTATTCTGAACTGAACTGTGGCAACAATAAGTTTGTGAAGCCATCGAACAGTTTATTGTGCTAGAAATATTTTCGTGTTGATTGCCTACCTCTATTGTCTTGGGATTCGTATGTTTCATTTTCGGGTTCTTTATTCTTAATATGTTTTGTCAAAGTCAAAAACGCTTCCTCAGTTTATTGCGCGTCACGGTCACTTCACAGCCACCCAGAATTTCCCGACCGACGTCACAGGGGTGTGGCATCGCTACCTGAGACTACCGTTAGACGAAAGCAGTGACTGTCGTAATTCGTCATTTTAAGCAACTTTTTTCCTCTAAACTGTATGTCGGACACGATTAATTTGCCAGATATTCGCCAAAAACTACGAGTACTACTACATTGCATTTCGCCTGTACGATAACTAGTCACGTTCTTAGATGAAAAGTCGAAATTTCCGGAAATTTTAATTACTTATAACTTTTAAATGCATTCTCGATGAAATTTTCAGCATACACATAACTTATTTGAATCTACAAAGGACATATTTTAAATTTTCATTATAGGCTAACATAAAAAAGTTGAAAAATTAACCTTCACTATTTTTTGTTCACGATTTCAACAAATTGTAATTTATTTGTTACGTTCGAATTATCCCCAGTGCATGCGGGATACGGCTGTCTATCCGCTCCCTTGCAAATGGTCTCCGTCATTTTGGGATTGCTGCTTTGAGGCAGCAATTGTAGGCGAAAGCCATGTTGTCCCCCCCCCCCCTTCTCTGTCATCTTCTTGATGGGCCAGCTCCCATCGTCTTGATCCGTCGTACCCTCGACCTTGGTTGGAAGTGCGAACGGAAACCATGAACATCGATAGCTTGTCTTGCATTCCGGACCTCCCCGGATTGAACGCAGAAACGATCCTTGAAATTTCGAGATGATCTATCTCCTCCAGACATAATTCCGATTGTTAACGTAACAAATTCCTTCCTCGAAATCAGCGTGGTCCCACGGTTCAAAATCACGTGTCGTTCTTGGTACTGAATATCGCCGGATGTAAACCCGAAACATCATTTGTGTGGTCCGATAATCTTGACCACTCTGGAACGTTCCTTATCGGTTCCGCGAGGATGATCAAAATTCCCTATACGTACATTATAATAATCCGAATTTTCTGCTAAATTCACTAAGCACTATAATATTGTAATTCCGCCACGCCGGTTAGTCCAAGTTGCGAATTTAAATTTCCATTTAACATTCGTTCAAATTCAGTAACCTGTAATAATTTTGAAAAGCATGTTTCCTTCCTATAACGCTAAGATTAAAGCAATTTTGTAAAATTTATTATATTTTAATGAGTAACGAGGTCTTTGATATGACAGGAAGAGTAAAGGAATATACGTGAATTAGAAAGAGGAAGATTAAAACAGAGAGAGGAACGCACATATCCCTGCTGCACCACCGATAAGCAAATCCCGCCTCCTTACGCATCGACACCGCCGCCTAATTCGTTAGGCGCACAACAACGCAATGTAAACAATTTCGGACGAGGCCCACTCTGGTCTTCTCCGAGAGGTGCAGATTGCGACACTCTTCGACGTATAATCGCGAGCAGCGTGTCGGCGGGTCCGCGAAGTGGTTTAGAGACGAGTTTTGTTCTCAATTGTTCGGAAGTAGCAAATAGGGCAAAAGACTCAATTTTCGTGTATCGATTTTACTTTCGTTTGTTTTGATTATTTTATTCATTATTTTAACCTTGCAGTTCAATTTTATTTCCTTATAAGTACATATATTTCCGTAGTGTTAGTTAATAGACTGCGTAATAGTTCGCGCATTTAAAATTGTGTATCGGTGCAGCAGTTCAGGGTGTGTGTGTTCCACTCTCTTTCCTCCAGAAAACAGTCAGCAGAGAAATAGCAGCAGCAGAATTTGGATCACTATACGGAATTTTACCACATAATCCGGTGAGTCGTTTCCATTACTCTTCCGGTCGCTACATGCATATATTAATAAGGAATTTCCAGTAGTCAAAATTGACGTAGTCAATTTTGATTGTAAGAGTCTTCTTCAACTGGAGATTCCTAATTCCAAATTGTACTTTATCACACGTATTCGTCTATTTCCGGCCAATAATTGTGTGTCTCAAGTTTAAATTGTACGCGAGCTAAACCTGCGTTTTCTTATATTTAATCACATTGTTATATTTCATCATATTTTATATTTTATTTTACACCTATCATTATTATATTTCGATACTCTATATCATTCATAATATTTCGACATTTTATATATATTTTATTATATTTCAATATTTTATGTATATTTTATACCTTTCACTATTATATGTATCCGATTATATTTTAACATTTTTATTTTATAATATATCATTTGATTCATCTCAATCAAATTTAATTTTCTTTGATAACCTTTATTAGTCTCCTTCATAAATCCCATGATATTAGCGATCTGATGAAAGGGCCCGCGTGATGAAAGGGCTGATGGGACTAGCGTATTTCCGAACCCACAAATATTTAATAATTTTCTGGCTTTACGGCGTCACCCGCGCGTTACGTTATCGATAGTTGCATTGCTCGACCAGTACACTACCACATTTTTATACTCTTGCATTTATACATCAGCTGACACTTGACACAGTCGCGTCACAAGCACACGCGCGCGCGCCGCACGTAACATATTAAATCAACAAAAACACGTATCTTAGTAAATTAATTTGTATAGCTTCTCAAAAAAATTCAAGTCATTTCGTCCAATTTTAAATGAGGTATCCTGTTTTAAACGTTATCCGATCACTTTTGCCCACTGTATATCGTATTTCTAAAGTTTGGAATATGTTTGAGGTAGTTTGAATTCGAATTATGTTAAATTTAGGTTACATTCGATCTATACTAGTTAGATTTATTGCCATAGTTAATTACTGGCTACCCGTCACCCATCGACAACAGATTTCAAAGTTATCGAAATTGGTGAGGTATACTCATTTTTAAGTAATCACCAAAATTACTACTATAGTAGACTCTTGATACATTTCCACACTGTTGGGGAGAAAATTTCTGAGTAACAGAAATTTAACAATTGCCTCCACGACAAAGCTAGCGTATAACACTGAATGAGTTGACATCCCAAAAGCAAGAGATCACCGTCACACTACGTCATGTAGAACTATATACCGGGTGTTAAAAAAAAACATTCAATATTTATATGGTACATTGGGCACACTGTATTGAATGAAAAAATTTTGGTAGACATAGGTCGAAAGATCAACCTTTTCTGAAATATAAACATTTGTATATGTATGTTAGCATCGTGATTGACTTACTGGATTCTAACCTCGTATATGATTTTTATTACCTCACTGTTTTATAAATTGCATTTTGATTGTCCTCGTTCAATTTCCACGCATATTTCATAACAGAACTTTTGACCAACAACTAGTTTGTTGTTATCAGCCGGTATATCTTCTGTAACTAGCGAAATGTCAGCAGCAAGTCAATGATAATGTTAACATAAAAAAAAACGTTTATATCGGTCAGAAGCGGTTAATCTTTTGACCTACGTTTACTAAGATTTTTTGACTCGGCACAGGGTGTCCTATGTACCATATAAATATTGAATATTTTTTTAAACATCCTGTATGCTAATATGACTTGCGTACACCATATAATGGTATTGCTATACAGGGCGATTAATGGTACAGGATTGCCTCGTAATAAGCAACACGCTCGGGTCTGGCCACTTGCTTATTACGGATCAGGTATGCTATTCGGTTCGACTTTGTTCTCGAAACGGGACGATAAAGAACACGAGAAACAAGTGAGAGATCCGAGGTATGTAGCGACAAATCATAAAGTGATCGGCCGAGCAAGGATGTTATTTTTTGAACAAGGATAGAAAACATTTTTTACATATATTCCATCTGTAAGAAAATTACGAGAATGCAAGGGATAGGTTCGTATTGCACAATGTGGGCGTATTAAAGTAACACTGGAACTCGGAGTTCGTAATAAGGCTTGTACTTTAATTTTAATCGATGATGTGGACACGTCCACGATCAAGACAAGAGTGACTTGTAGCCAAAACGTTAACCGTGAGGACGCCTACGTCACCATGGCCCTTTTCCTACCGAGTTTATGACGCTTTGTCCTTACAGGAAAAACCCGTGACGTACTAACCGTGAAATACCGTTGCCGAGGTGCGCACGGTCCGCTCTAACAGTTGTATCTTTTTAAAATTTCTAACACATCCTTCTTCTACTAACCGATGTCACTGCTCAGTCGAGCGTGAAATTTATTACCCTAAACATCAGCTTCGCGCTTTCATGGATCTCTCACTCATTTCTCGTACCTCTCACTTTGCGGGCGACTTCAAACAAAGAAGAGGGGATAGCGAGTTGCTTATTTCGAAGCAGAGACCACTTGCTTATTTCGAGGCAATCGATTTGTAGTTTTGCGACTTCCGCTAAACGGAACTGGATCCGGAAAAAGTTGTTCAGAATCACCTCAGCAACCACCCCTCCAGGGGATTATCACTCTTTCTAAGACACTATGTATATGTATAGATATTTATATGACGTCCTTACTACAGTAACCACAACCATAAGTATTCTCCCTCTACTACTCGTTATGACGTCATACAAAGCCAGGTATCCACTTGTATCAAACGCCCGTATCGTATCACTGTTGCGTATTCTTTTGAAGAGGCACGCATTGCATCACTGCGTATCACAGCGTGCTACGGTTGAAACAATTTTTCTTCGTTTGAAAAATACGGTTTAGGAATAGGACTGGGCCACTACAGGCGAGGAGTTTTGGTTTGCTGCATGCTTTCGTAATTGTAGAAGTTCGTCGCTTACTTGTTAGCGTCAGCACGTGTTCAAGGGTTGACACGTGTCAGGGTCAATGCATTTTGGGCTTTGACCTGAGTTTCAAGGATTTCTTAGGATTCTTTAGACTATCGATACCCCGAGCCATATGTCTGTCATCGGACTTGGGCCGGCGGTGGTTGATACTTGAGGTGCGACGAATTCTAAGAGTCGCGGATGTTTTGTTTATGGAACGGCGATAGAGAGTTCGATCGCCAATTCTCGAAGGAACGCGCGTGTGGCCGATGACCCGAAGTCATGGTGCTGCATGGCACGTGTAAAAAGATAAGGTTGATCTAGAAGGATCTGGCCACGGAGTGGGGAAGATCTTTCATCTTCTGGTAGGAGGACCATGAGGAACGGCGAGGGTACTTCTTCAAAATTATTCTAACATACTATTGTAGAACTTTTATATATGCAACGTTTAAATGCCCAGAATCAACACCTCGGCTGGATATATGCAACGTTTGAAACCCGAGCCGACACCGCAACCGGTTTTCATTTCCAATCCTCCTTTGCTTTTCGCCAACTTTTAACATCAATTTTAGCAAGTAATTATAATTCAAACTATATCGTGTTTGGTATCATTTTAATAAGAAAAATGTCACCAATCCGCTGGTAAAAGTTTCATTAAAAAAAAGTCAAAAATAAATAAGTTTTATAGTTGAATTAGTATTAGTCACACCGATACGTTTCGGCTCTTTCCTTTGATCATCGGACCTCTCTTTTTCCACCACTGCCTGTCCTTTTCTACGTTCACGCTTGGCTGCTCGTCGCGTGTAACCCGAGATTAGACACCTCGACTGGATATATGCAACGTCTGGGTCCCAATGTTTGTTGCATATATCCAGCTTTTACTGTAATACCGCAAGATTTAATATAAATTGAAATGTTAATTTATTGAACTTGAAAACCCAAGTAACGGCACGAAACGCTATGTCAAGTGCAAACGCATGAACCTTTCCTTCGATGCAACGGCAGAGAACCGACAAATTTTTCAGACAAGCCCGTTGCGTATCTCCGTATCAAAGGAACAGCATGCAGCAAACCGAACCCCCTCGACTGTAGTGGCCTAGTCCTATTATCGAACCGTTTCTTTCAAGAAACGAAGAAATATTGACCGAGCCGTAGCACGCTGTGGCATACAACGATGCAACGCCTACCTCTTCAAATGGATACGCAACGGTGATACGATACGGGCGTTGGATACAAGTGGATATCCGGCTTTAGGCTTCATGCGGCCGTGTTCGCCTTATTTCTGGTAACGATGTAAAAGACGAAGACAAATCAACTGAAATAATTCATGTATGTGAAAAAACAATGTGCTCGGAACACGTGATTAGTATTGGTGGAAGTACTGTCCACCGATGACAAGAAGTCTCGCGGGACGGTATAGGGGCAGAGGGGATATGTTGAGATGTAATTATTTTATGTGTGTTTGAATGAGTGGGCATGTCGTGCCTCTGCCTGCGATTGGGACGAACTAGCGTCCTGCGTGTGATTGATGCGCGAGTATAATATATGACCGTTAAGTTTTTTTCTGTTCTATGATCTTCTTGCTAAGGCGTATATACTGTTCAGTTTGGTTCTTTGTTCCTATTATAATTAAGTTTTCTTTTTTGTGTAATATTAAAATTAAGATTAAATACAGTCATGAGAAAAGAACAGAATGCCTTGAAATTATTAAGAAAGCATTACAATTAATCTATACACACGAAACATCGTCAGCTATATCTATAAGTAAAATTTTATTAATAGAATACTACGCACACATCGACTGACCCCCTAGTTTACACGAGCCTAATTAGTAAATGTGATCACTTCGACCAATCATACATCACGACGGAAAGTACTTATGAGCTGAGGTGGGGCGCAACCGATCAGATTGCGTTATTCTCAAGGGACTTCTTGTGATCGGTGGACAGTATGTGTGGAAGGGAATAGGCTTCTGCAAAAACTTATCGAGCGGAAAATTATCAAGAGTCTACTGTATATTTAAATTAGTATTTGCTACGTCTTACCTGTAATATTCTTTCGTAAAAGCATCCATATCTGTTATAACAATTCGTCTCCCGAAGACATTTATTTCTGCACCAATACCAAGCTCGTTATTTTTATAAAATTCTTTACACGTTTTACCAGTAACCAAAGGATCTATTGTGTAAAAAGCATTGCTTGCATCTTCTCCCATGACATTTAGAACGGTAAAACGATCTTGTGCCCCAATTGGTTCGAGCTCAACAAACAACTACAAAAATCTATCTATTAATTATACAAATTCCAAGTTTCAATTTTAAAATGGTATATGTATATGTACAAGAGAAGGTTGTCGAATTTGTATCACACGAACATTCTTTCCCGTCAGGCTGATAATGAAATAATTTTCGAATGTAGTAAATACAGAAAAAATGGTCATAATATACAGGGTGAGTCACGTTACTTGCAAACCTCAAATAACTTTTAAATTATATACTTTATGAAAAATTCTTCAATACAAAAATCGCATAGTTTCAAGGGGGGCGAATGAAGACGTATCAACTTTTCTTGTATGTAAAGAGCTTTTCAAATTTTGAAAGTCAACTTTCTTTTTTCTTAAATGAAATCATATATTTCTCTCATTTGAGATCGAAAGAATATTAAATTTCAAGTAAATAAGTGTAAAAAATGGCGGAACCAATATAAATCGTCGAATGGTATTAGAATATACAAAAACCAGGTCAATAATTTCGTGTGCCCTTAAGTAACGTTCAGCTCAAAATCGTTAATAATGTTACAGTTTACTTTGATTCGAAAAAAAAATTAATTGGATTCAAGAAAAAGAAAGCCAACAACGGCAGCAGGCAGAGTTTCCCAGTCGATCCAAATACTACCCGGCTCAACTTAAGCTTGATTTCAGTGATCAGACGAGAATTAATAAATTCTAACCGAAATGGCCATTAACTGGACAAATCCAAACTTTAAAATCGAAAGACCACCTTAAATCTAATTACTTATCGTTAATACATATGGGAGTGAGAGCGTTGCGATGTCGACTATTGCGATGCGATGATGACTGTTACTACGCGATGTTTCTAGAAACGTTTACCCGTTTACTGATCGCGGAAATTCTAAAAGCAAGGAAACAAATAAAAAGCGCGGAGGGATTGTGCCTCGAGGTATTCGTCGCCGAACTACGAGCGAGAGCGGATGTTACCGTATTTCTCTAATCTTTTATTTTATTATTAAAATCTTTATGTTCAAGACAGTTTTTTCGACTATCCACCCGTCCCAATCCTACACACATTTAAATCGAAGACACTCGTCAAGTAGCAAGTTGGGTATGTTAGAAATCTTGTCTCTAGAGATCGATCCCGTTCGACGGTTCTGGGGTAAGTGCCATGCCGTCTCTCATGGTCCTCTTACCAAAAGATGAAACATCTTCCCCACTCTGTGGCCAGATCCTTCGAGAACACCCTTATCTCTTTACACGTGCCATGCGGCACCATGACTTTAGGTCATCGGCCACACGCGCCTTCTTCGGCGATCGGCAACCGAACTCCTCGCTATCAAAACGTAAACATAACATCCGCAACTCTTAGATGTCACCGATCCTAATTTCAACGGCGGCATCGGCCATCCTCTCTAATTTCCTAGAACTATACTCACCACCAAGTGACCTCTGAGACACGTGTACGACCCCGACACGTTCCTCAGCTTTGAAAAACGCTCTAACGCTAACAGGTACGGGAACCCGTCTACGCTCGTATAGTTCACCAGAGTCCATAACTGCGATGCGCAGGTTGAAAGATGGTGGGGGAACGCAGCGAGCTCTCCGCTAATCGCTTTCTACTTCGTTTGGGAGTACCGCCAATCAGGGCGAAGATGCGCACGAAAGAACGAAAACTGGTCTTTTCGCAGTTATGGACTCTGGTGAACTCCGCTGTATGTATTTACACGCGTGCACTGTTTTGGACTCGAGGTATGGGTTCGTTTGACACATCGAGAATCGTTTGGGAGCGGGCAGGCTGCTTCAACATTACATACCGTCTGCGTCTACTAACAATAAGTTGTGACCCAGGACGCGCACAGAGACAAGGGGAGTTTTTCGAATACACCAGTCGGCTCTCCAGTTTTACACAAGCCTAATTAGTAGATGTGACCACGTCAGCCAGTAATACAGTAAAGACTTTTATTCATTATTTGATACAACTTTTGTCCAACGCATCCTACTATACCGACGTGGTGCCGATTGTCATAAGAGACACTGGAAGCCCTTATCAACAAAGATGCGCCGGATCTCGAGATGCCGATTCTTAGGACGCCAGGTTCCGAAATATCAGATTCCTAGACGTCGAGTTCTTAGATGATTAGTTCCGCGTAATCTCCACCTGATATTTTTAAGCCAAGGATATAAAAGATGATACATTTTCAATAAAGAGTTTAGCTCTACCTCCGTTACAGATCAAAACACGTCTGTTTCTTTGTCCGACTTGTGTGTTTCGTGAAATTGACTATAAGTCCCGTGACACGATGCACTTGATCACGACCACGGTTCAATCACAGGGCATACCCAAATACTTCAGTGGTTCAGCCTGCGCTCTACGCGCGCTCTAATCGGACAGAGTTTTTCGTTTTAATATTTCAAAAACAAAGCCTTAACCAACAATTTGGTAAAGAAAAAAGGTTGTTCCAAATCACCTCAGCAATCATCCCATCAGGAGATTCGATCTAATTCTAAGACACTCTGTATATGTTCGACTCCTGGAAATTAACGAGTTAAGTATTTATAGGAAACAATAATAATCCAACAACTGAATAATTAATTTTGATTGAAAAAAAATAATTGGATTTACTTTATTAATAACTTATCACACGTGGGAATCGAAAGAACATATAAAAAACAAGTGAAGAAAAAAACGCTTAGAAAAGAATATAAAACTAAAGAACAATACAAGGAGGTAACTTAAAAAATAATCGTACACAATATAAAACGCTGAAAATAAAAAACTAAATTAAAGAAATACTTCTAACATTAGTATTTATAATTTTAACAAGTGATGGTTCAAAATATAAACTGATGAACATATTAACTTTGTTACTAGCCGAAAGGAGCGGTTGCGTAATCCCCGCTTTCATTAAGTTATGGAGTTTGTTAATTGGCTTGACTAGTGTTGTTAGTGTCATGTCCCAGTGACACTACTTTTCAAAATTTTCAAAATTTCTATCTCGCCGACCTTGTGTTTCCTCATCAGTGCTTCGCACTCGGAATTGTTCCCATGTGAGCGGCACAAGGGAGGATTTTGAGTTATAATTATTGTATTTTCCTAAACTATTTCATTTATTTTTGCATTTATCACTAACTTTGTGTTTCCTCATCAGTGCTTTGCACTCGGAATTGTTCCTATGTGAGGAATACAAAGAAGGTTTTTGGTATTGTAAATCCAACGGTTAACAGTATTTTGGTATTCTCTTATTTCAAACAGTATCTACAGGGTGAGGCACTAACTATTGCCACCTAGAATAACTCCGAAAGCATGATAGTAGTAGAAAAGTTTTTCAAACGAAAGTTGCATCGGACAACAGGGGCCGTGGTATGACGTTAATGTTTTGTTGCTAGGTGGAGTTGCTTCAGATATATGAAGGTCACCTTTGTTTTTTTAAATGGAACGCTATGTTTTGGTCCTTATTTTCTGATAGCGGCTATTGAGATGAATCCAACGAGGTGCAACATTAAGGTCTTCGAAGGTCAATAAAGGTCACTTATAACAAAAAATGCGAAATAAACTTACATTTACAGGTGTTCAAAGTGATTGCCATTGGCATCAATGCAATGCTGCAATCTTCTTACAACGGATTGAGTAGTATTTCTTATCACTTCGGTACTTATTGAATCACATGCTGTAACAATTTCTCTCTCGTACATCTTCAGATTTCAATTTATCGTGCAAATTTATTTAAGTGTATGGCGTATAGGATGAGAACATTGAGGACATCTTTCAGCGTATTTACCAAACCTGGCAATGATAAGTGCCGAAGTGATAAGAAATACTACCCAATCCGTGATAAGAAGATTGCAGCATTGCATTGATGCCAGTGGCAATCACTTTGAACATCTTCAGTAAATGTAAGTTTATTTCGCCTTTTTTGTTATAAATTACCTTTGTTGACCTTCAAAGACCTTAATGTTGCACCTCGTTGGATTCATCTCAATAGCCGCTATCAGAAAATAAGGACCAAAACATAGCGTTCCATTTAAAAAAACAAAGGTGACCTTCATATCTCTGAAGCAACTCCACCTAGCAACAAAACATTAACGTCATACCACGGCCCCTGTTGTCCGATGCAACTTTCGTTTGAAAAACTTTTCTACTACTATCATGCTTTCGGAGTTATTCTAGGTGGCAATAATTAGTGCCTCACCCTGTATATCCTTCTTTAAAATAGTCGTCGCACTCAATCGAACTGCGTATTTATAAGCGATAGAAAAACTCGATTCTGCTAGAGGAGAGGTAAGTACCATAAACACCGTCAAATCGTAGTTAGTGCTTCGCATTCGGAATTTGCTTCTCACACTAACCACGCAAAAGGCAAAACAATCACGATTTTACATGTTTATACCTGTATACCATCATTCTCTTATTTATGTGCCAATCGGACCCGATCGCAACAGTAGGGCTGCTTTTACGACTTGCCACTCAAACCGAGATGTATCTACTGAAAATCAGGAAATTTGTAAACGTTATATCTTGAAAACTAATTAAAATCGAGTGTTTCCATTAAAGCTTAATGAATTCGCCTTGAGAAGCAATATTATGTAGGATGGTATGAGCAAATGAGGGATTCGGAGGTAACAGAAAGAAATCATTCTGAGTATACAGTTATTATATCTTTAATAATATTTCGCTGATCGTTCTCGATCCGGCTCTGTTGAAATCTTATAAGGGAACATCGGGGACTGATACACTCCGATTTTGATGAAACTTTGCATAAATATTTATTAGACCTGTTTATGAAGATAACTGTAATTCGTTGGTGCCCGTTTTTCACTTTGAGGGAGATATCAACCCTTTTATCCGAATCGCCATTTCTATATACGTGCTAATAAATCGTAAACAACAAAAAATATCAAAAAATAGTTGAAATAAAAGTTATACCGTTTCTTGAGGTTTATAAAGCTGCGAGTAAGATTTTTTTTTTAAATCATCCTTTTCGCAAAATTGAATTCCCCTTCCCCTCCGTTTTGAAAAACTTTACTTTTTTTTCAATCAATAAAAGCGCCTGTTTATTATGAATTCAACGATGTATTATAGTGTCTAGTTGTTTTAATTATTCCGATGGAATTTTTGATTTAAGTTTTTTGATCTTTCGGTATTGACCGCTAACTGAACTTATACAGTAAAAGCTGGATATATGCAACAAACTTTGGGACCCAGACGTTGCATATATCCAGTCGAGGTGTGTAATCTCGGGTTACACGCGACGACCAGCCAAGCGTGAACGTAGAAAAGGACAGACAGTGGTGGAAAGAGAGGTCCGATGATCAAAGGAAAGAGCCGAAACGTATCGGTGTGACTAATACTAATTCAACTATAAAACTTTTTTATTTTTGACTTTTTTTTACTGAAACTTTTACTAACACATTGGTGAAATTTTTCGGATTAAAATGATACCAAACACGATATAGTTTGAATTATAATTACTTGCTAAAATTGATGTTAAAAGTTGGCGAAAAGCAAAGGAGGATTGGAAATGAAAACCGGTTGCGGTGTCGGCTCGGGTTTCAAACGTTGCATATATCCAGCCGAGGTGTCGATTCTGGGCATTTAAACGTTGTATATATCCAGCCGAGGTGTCGATTCTGGGCATTTAATGTTGCATATATCCAGCCGGGGTGTCGATTCTGGGCATTTAAACGTTGCATATATCCAGTCTTGATATCGATTCTGCGTCCGTACAAATCGTTTGTACCGTGCCGCGATACCTATTCTACGTTCGTACAAATCGTTTGTACCGTGCCGCGATACCTATTCTACGTTCGTACACAACATGCGACGTGTTGCATGTTGCATGTTGCGTGTTTGATGTATCTTTGATGTACGGCCTGCCTTATACATATGTACAGTTTTATTATTATTTTAATAAATAAATATAATTCAAATCATATCGTGTTTGGTACCATTTTAATCAGAAAAATCTCACAAATGCGTTTGTAAAAGTTTCATTAAGAAAAAGTTAAAAATAAAAAAGTTTTATCGTTCAATTAGTATTAGTCACACCGATATTACGGTTGGATCATATTACACGGTTTCCTCGCCGAGCGGCTCGGTTCGGCTTAGGGGAATCCCCCCAAGTGGAGGGGATAGCGATGTTGCATATATCCAGCCAAACGTTTGTTGCATATATCCAGCTTTCACTGTACTTGCAACGTTGATAAGATTTTTAATAAGAACTATTTTTCCATTCGTTTTATATGTCATTTTCATAATTGCAAGATTAATTTCATCATCATATGATGAAGTACATTTGTTTTGTAGACTTACTACAATATACAGAGTACTTCCGATGTAGCAGTATAATTGAAAAGACAGTTAATCTACATATAAAAATAAGCTGAAAATGTAGAGTAAGAGTTTTTGATATACAGGGTGTCTCACTTAAACAGATACAGAGCTCTTATTCCATAACTATTAATGATACAAAAAATAGTTGATATGGAAATTGCATGGGAAAAGGGGGTCTATGTTTCTTATAGTTTTATGACAGAATTTTATAACACATAACATAATAACTACATACAGATATAATACCAAGTAATAAATCGTTTTTTATTGCTGCAAAGAATGAAAAAAATCAATTCATAAATAGAATAATCTTAAAAGAAAAAAAAAAAAATTATCAGAATGCTGTCTTGAACCGAGCTTGCATGGATTACAAAATAATAGCTGCACGGGCACTTAACCTGCTCGGCTAATTTGCTTCATACTGACATTCAACTATTCATTGTATTTATAGTACAGCTGAAAAAATGCATAAATATTTATGCAATTTTCTCAAAAAGTAAGGCCCATACACCCAAAACCCTTAACACGATTTGTACTATTGACCTCCCCTTTCGAATGCACTAGAACTCATTAGAAAGTCGAGTTAGCACTTCGTAGCATCTCCTTGTCAGCCATAAACACACACAAAATAGTTTTGGGTCCGGCGATATGGCCCCTGGATCTTTTTACCCGCAAAAACAGCAGGATTCCATTGTGCGGGACGGCTATTGTGTTGCGCTGCGAGAGAATCACCCTGTATAAAATAGGATGAAAACTGTCGTATTCGGGAACCAAAAATCCGCAGCAGGTTGATGAGAGTTCAATCGATAATCAATCAGTGTCGGTTAGATAAAAATAAAATCGAATATTTGCAGGCAATCGCAAATATTTATCGACCATACGACCAGTCCGATTTAAGACGAAAATGAGTGACACAGCTCTGCGGAATAGAAAAATAATTTAATGTTAATATTTTTTGAATGATTAAGGCCTTCCAGATTGCCAGGAATATGTTTTTTTTTCAAGATATGAAATAAATAGTTATTTTTCACTGACTAAAACCATTCAGGCCTTTTTTTATTAGTACTTTTTCGCTTACTAACCTAACCTAACCTAACTTAACCTTTTTCTATCTAATTGAAACTAAAAGCTCCCACTGCTGATCGAACGGGTTAAAGGTTGTACTGTGTAAAGTGTAATCCGCGCAGGAGGAGCCTAGCTGGCTCCTCAGCATGCATGCGCTACTTTCCAACCCAGGTACAGGGTGATCCTCTCGCTACGCTACCCAAAGGAAGTGCCGCTACAATAGAATGTAGAAGTCGACATCCCATTTCTGTCATCGCTTACTTGACCGAGGTGGCCCCTGCAGCGAAGACGACTGTGTGCGTGAAAATGTGTTAAGAAAATATTCTGTTTTCCGCAGTGCTCAAATGGGATATATATACATATACGGTACAGGACCTTCGTGCGGGCTCTTTATGGCCCCGCCATGATGCAGTTCGAGGCCCACCTCCAGGATCTGCTGAGCTGTCAGCTGTTCGAAAACGAAACACGCGCTACGGAACCTGATATTCCAATTTTCAATTGCTTATATCTCTAAAACGAAGCCGCAGATTGTGCCGATGTGGTGTCGCAGCGATTGTTCATAACCACGGTTCGAACATAATCAATAGCCAACACTCTTCGCGATTCAGCCCGCCCTCTACGCGCGCTCTAATTGTACAGTGTTTTTCATTAATAATTCAAATACTTAGCTTCAACCAATATTTTGGTATAGTAAAAAGTTGTTCAGAGTCACCCCAGCAACCTCCCATTTCCCGATGTTTCGGGAATTACGGGACACCCTCTAGAAGACTGACTAAACAGTAGATGTTCACATCCAACTTCAAATAAGGAAATTTTCGAAAACACGAAAATAGTAACTTCATGTTTTTAAAATGTATAAAATAATCAAAGATTGAATGTTTATAATCTTACCTTAGGAACCTTCATTCGTCGTAAAAACATAAAACCAGAATCTCGTCCAGAATTTGGTGAAACATTCTCTTTAATTTCAATTGTATCGTCAGCGAGATAATAATGTATCTCAAGATCGTGAATAATACCATAAAGATTTTGTGTATCATCCCAATAACCATAAAATCGAAGTACTTGTTTATCGTATTTTAAGAAGTCGCCACGTGTGTCAATTCTTCGATTAGGCTTTTTTGCAAATGTTTCCTGTGTTGCCAATTATTAAAACAAAAACGAATAGTTAAGACCAATCGATTTGAAAGTTTTAAAAATAGTTTTAAGATAAATTTATATGTGTAAAACGATACACAAAATATTATAGATAAATCTAAATTTATATTAAATAAATTTTAAAGACAAAGAGTATAACAGGATAGTACGGTCAAAAGTACCTTCGAGCCGATTTTAGTAGGCTATACACCATTCAATAGCTTTCCAAAAGAAACTGTTGCACACCAACCCTGTGGTCAACACCGTATCTCAACTGGGAGAGTAGTTACAGGGTAGAATAGAAAAAGCGATTTTTGGCTATATTTTCCCTATTTAATGAGATTCAAAAAATCTGAAAAAATTCTGGAATATTCTAGACATGTTTACTTATGATTGTGAATTTTTTCAGATTTTTTGGTTGCAAATCCTATGCATGAAAATTCAAAAACGCAAAAAAGTCGAAAGATGGAGATTTCAGGTAGAAGTTTTCGAGGTACTAGATTTTTACTTTTAGTACAACCATCCTCGATATTTTAAAAATTGTTCGGTATGGCGCACCGTACTTGAAAGAATCGGAGACCGATACTTTCGACATATTTCGTGCGATAACACGAAAAACACTTTTAATATGTTTGTACATATATGTATGTACCTTTTTCTTATAAAGTTAGGTGAGACACCGATATGTTTGTTAACTTGCAATAGTGATTCCCAAACTTTTTTGGTTTACAGCGCACTTAGTGTGCCAAAATTTGTTCATGGCACCCAGAATCAGAATATAGACCTATTTAACAGTTGCAATGTGTAGTTGGTGTCCTCAAATTGGTTCAGTTAAAAAAAATATTAATGAAATACATATTTCAAATTCACAAACAATTTCTATAAAAATATTAAAGGTAATTATTGAGATTAGGTTACACCTCACCGATTTTGATGAAATTTAAATATGTTGTAAAATTAGGCATTTTGAACAACTTTTTCTTATACATATAACCGCCGCTCGGCCTTAGTTTTCGAGATATTTTCGAAAAACTGTGGAAACTAACACATTGAATTCTGGCCATCCGTGTGTGTCCGTGACAACGTACGCATTAGTATGGGATCGCCGCTTTTCTACTGTTTTTGCAGGCAGCAGCACGGCGACTGACATCAATATACATCCTACAAAAAGTACATTACATGTAAAAAAAAGGTAACGCCAAGTAGTTTAGGCATTATATGGTACACATTTTGTGAATTTTCTAAAAAAGTAATGGATATCATGCAAAACCAGCCAAATATTGAGTTATATATATTTTTCAAAATATTTATACTTGGCGTTTGGCTGCCTCGTTGCGATTCAACAAAATTTGTTGTACGTTATTCCAAACCTGTGAATACATAATCGACTTTATATAGCATTAAACAACTATTTATAGTAATTAACTTTATATATACCGAGTCTCCTGATCTCCCGATTATAACGTGAAAAAATCAAAAACAAAACCCCTAACCCTATCCTCAAACCACTTCAATCACTCTTTCAATCACCATTCAGTCTCCATTTCTCCCGGAATACAGTGTACAGTAAAAGCTGGATATATGCAACGTCTGGGTCCCAATGTTTGTTGCATATATCCAGCTTTTACTGTACTTGTAATAATCTAAGTTTAACTAAAGATTTTTGCAAATATCTCGGAAACTAAGGCCGAGCGGCGGTAACATGTATAGGGAAAAGTTGTTCAGAATGATGACCTTGGCAACATATTTCAAGATCACGAAAATCAGTGAGGAGGGCAAACTTCTAAATAATTACCGTTTTTTATTACAAGCTATAAAATGGTGCATTGCTGAATAAAATCGGCTCAAGGGCACTTTTGACCATCTTATCCTACTATACCCTTTGTTTAACATATTGTTGAGATTTTTTTGGTTAAAATGAGACCAAATACGATATATGTAATTTGGATCATATTTACTTACTTTATATACAAGGGAACATCCCCAATGTGAATTTTTTTTATTCGTCCATATACTCCAAATTATGTCATGTTTGGTTTCATTTTAATCAGAAAAATTATATCAATATGTTAAAACAATTTGCATGCAGAAAAATCTAAAAATAAGAAAGTTAAATTGTTATTAATTTCTTGGCTGCTAAGGCTTTCATGCCATCCTTCTCTTTTACGACTTGTCGCCGGAGATCAAAATCAACCGCGAGGTTCGATACCCGTATTGTCCATTTTCGCTTTCTAGCTTACGGACAACGTGAAAGGCATTACATACTGTAGTTTAGGAACCACTGATTTATAAGTTACTCAAACTGTTATTACTTAATGCTTACGAATTTTCGCAGTTCAGAATTTGGATCTTTTGGTATATTGATAGGATCTGGTACTGGTATTCCCATACGATTTAGAAATCTTCTTGTAAATTGATCACAATCAACAACCTTATATACTCTCCCAAAAATTTCCAGTTCTTTGCCAATATTTAAATCAATGATATCATAATATCTGTATCTTACTGGATCAGGCATTGGAATTCTCTGCCGTTTTAGAAGAACACCTATATAAGTTCAATTCTTTAACATTAAAACTATTATCTTGACAAATATTATATTATATTTTTGTTTACACACGTAAAAACGCAGATAAAAGCAAACAAAATGAAGAATTCTGGTTCTAACAAAGCATTACCTTTTATGAAAATGTAATTACATAATAATTAAAAATGATCTAAATATTCATGTAATGAGTATATACTATTGTACCTTGTTCAAGACCGCTATTGTTAATGACAGGTTCAGAGATTTTCATTGTTCCATCTTCTAAGAAAAAGCTAATATTTACAACACGAATCAGATAAGCTGTTTTCCATCTTTCTTGAACAGTTTCTTGAAAGAAAGCCTTAAACATCAATCTCTAAAAGCATATCCAGTTTTAGAGCATCTACATATATGTATACATGTGTAAATACAGGGTGTTAGAAAAGTCAGGAAACGTTCAAATATCTCGAAAACGAGACATTTTAGGAAAAAATATTTGATACATAAGTTGTAGGGTTTCAACAAATGTATCAAACGGTGGTACGTATTTGACCTTGAGCGTAAGTATGGAGGAGCTATCAAGGTCAAGTTAAAAATTTTGAATGGAAATCCCCACTTTTTATTTAATATTCTTGTAGCTGACATCGAGAGCTTTTCAAAACACTACTCATGAGCTTCTTTCGGTTGAGTACTTTTCACTTCACTGCGACAAGTTCAATGCAACTCACAAGGGGAACTACCCAAGTGTTACACTCACTTATTAATGAAACTTTGCCAGCTTGTAGAGCTCGTCGAACTGAACACACCTATACCCCGTTTTGTGGGCAGACGACTAATTGTTTAAAAGATATTAATAATTAAAGTTAGTTACTACTTACATTGAGATGTATGACAGACTCACACATACAACTCGCAATCTAGAGATCCACGGTTCAAATCCTTGATTCCCAACATTTTTTTTTTTTTTTTTTAATGATAATTTGTCTCTTTTAGAATAACTATTACATAAAAATTATCATAAAAAGAAAATTTTTTTTGGAAACTAAGGATTTGAACCGAGGACTTTTACATTGCAAGTCACGGATCTGCTCTGTGGTTAAACACAGGACTCGTTATCTAAAGGTCCTTGGTTCAAATCCCCTGGGTTCCTGTTTTTTTTTCTTTTTTTCTTTTATGATAATGTTTATGTAATAGTTATTCAAAAAGAGACAAATTATCATTAAAAAAAAAAAATGTTGGGAACCAAGGATTTGAACCGTGGATCTCTAGATTGCGAATTGCGTGTTGACTGCTGCTAATGCCGGCGGTACTTGAACTTTATCGACTCATATCTCGAAAAGTACTCAACCGAAAGAAGCTCATGGGCAGTGTTTTGAAAAGCTCTCGATGTCAGCTACAAGAATATTAAATAAAAAGTGGGGGTTTCCATTCAAAATTTTTTACTTGACCTTGATGGCTCCTCCATACTTACGCTCAAGGTCAAAGACGTACCACCGTTTGATGCATTTGTTGAAACCCTACAACTTGTGTATCAAATATTGTTTCCTAAAATGTCTCGTTTATTTGACCGTTTCCAGACTTTTCTAACACCCTGTATGTAATGATACCGTAAAGATTCGATAATTGCGAAACGCTCGGGTTCGTTTCGTTCGTATCGTACAATTCCTGCATTGTTAGAAGTTTGCCGACCGCTTCGAACATAGAAAAGAACAGCGAATAGGAAAAAGAACGGAGCGTTCGAGGAGAAATACAAACCACTGTATGTATGTCGGTGAATCAAACTAGTGCAACGATGAAACTTTTTTATCTCTAATTTTTTTGGTATGAAGCTTTTATTAAGAGCTTTGTGACATTTTTCTAATTAAAATAAGACCATACACGATATAATTCGGACCATATTTACCATGTAACTTGTTTCTAATTTAATAGAAATGATAATGATACATAATAAGTTGTTGCAAGTAAATATGTTCCGAATTACGTCGTGTTTGATATCATTTTAATCAGAAAAATTCTACAAATTTTTTAGTAAAAGTTGTATAAAAAGAAAAAGAAAAATAAAAAAATTAGCATCCTCTTGGTATTTAGAACAATATACATAATATGCTTTTGATCTTTGCCGATTGTCATGATCGTGGCTTTTCTTTCTTTTATTTCATTCACTATCCTTCCTCATGTCCGAAACTTATTATCGTCAGTTTAACCAGTAAATATAATCCAAATTATATCGTGTTTGGTCTTATTTTAATCAGAAAAATGTCAGCATTATCCTGGTAACAGTTTTATAACAAAAAAATGAAAAATTACAAAGTTAGGTTGTTGTATTAGTATTAGCTCACTGATATATCTGATCCCAGATCACTACTCATGGCGTTTCAAGGAGTATACCCCCAGCGGTGGGGATGAGTTCTTCGCAATTATCCAATATTTACTGTACTCATTATTAGTAAGTGTATAAATATGCTGTTGTGAAAGTTTTTTCAAAAATGAATAATATCATTGCAGTCAAAGTATGCACTTCCCTAAATATCAAAATTCAAGTATAAAAATTTCTTAATTTTGCAGTCACTTAACACTTTTTCGTCCCACAAAACACAGAAAAATTAGTCAAGTTTATAAATATCGCGTCTTGTAGTCGATGTACACAATTTCTTGTGCTTAGAATTGTTGAAGTAAGTCAAGTTTTTCGAAAAATTCTTAGAGATTATAAGAAAATATCATAAATCATGATTCTCGGTCAGCTCAGGCGGTACACACTTTCCTTTTCATTTTGCATCAAGCTATTGTTACAAATTCAACAGCATTTTCACCATTATTCATACAATGTAAACTTCGTCGCGACAAACGTATTTATACACTTAATAATATTAATTAACTACGTTTTTCTACAATAGGGTAATTTCTACTTGGCCATCATAGGCAATCCAAGACGGCAATTCGTGAACTTCTCCACGAGCATAAATCGATGGATAGCGGATATGGTCGCCCGTATCTGTTTTTTCCGACAGATAATAAACTCCATCGTGTATCTTCGCAAAATATTGATTCCTGTGAAACTTTGTTCGACCAAGCTAAACATGTAAAATATTCCAGATTTATTTTATATTTTATTATACTTCTGCTTGTACTTATTTATATTGTTTAATTATTAATAATTCTTTACATGTATGTACATATGTTACTTAAAAACTTTATTGGTTAATGGAATCTAAAACGATATTGAATTTTAGGGAAGACACTTACATTTTTATTAAAATCGAATCCTGGCAAACATGGAAGTATAGGATCACGTTGCATTTTACTTTTTAGGAAAATAAGAGTTTCACTAATACATTAAATGTACGCAAATGAATAATTAACAGTAACTTTACGACGGAACTTTATGCTTTACACTTTATACATTTGGTACCGATGTAAGAATCCAACATACTTGTATTTGTTTTGTCTCCTTGGAGATGATTTCATTGGGTTCATAACAGAAATAATTGTAAAAAGTTGCAGTTTGAAATGCATATAATTATTATTATCAACAATTAGCAATATTATATTGGTAGTATTTTAAACCAATAGGTACAAAAACATATACCAAAAATTTAATATTCAATACAATAATTTATATACGGGTGTATGTTAATTTCGTAATTGTTAGTAACATATTATGCTATCCATAAATTGAACAACATTGTATAATGAGATTCATTACTTACTAATAGTGCAATCATAATTTGCAGGTGTACAAGTGTACTGTACAAATTTGTAGATAAATTAACATTTAAAATAAATCAATGCATGTTATAAATATTAATATACATAACAAAAATGTAACAAAAAGAATAAAATAAATTTTAGTTCACAAACTTCAATGTATTTAAAGCTATTGTTATAAGCTTTAAATATTATAATCAAAAGCGATTTTAATATTGTGCATATTATAAATGTAATATATATTAATATTGATATAAATACAGAACCGAGCATAATATTACCTCTCTAAAGAAAACGATGACGTAGGGAAAGAAAGTCCCACTATTCGTATGTAAACTCAAAAAATTTGAAGTTCACAACTTCAAAATTTTAAAAATGGAATTTTATAATTTAGAAATTTTTAAATTTATATGAAGCCTCCTTTCCCTACCTCGTCATTTTTTCGAGGAAAACTAATTTATGCTTGGTACTGTATGTACATTCATATGTATGTACTTAAGAACTTACATATACTAGCAACAGTAGAATATTCAATGACGGTTGCAAAATAAAATTCAGATCATATGTAAATCAAATTACATTATAAAAAGCGCTTTTTTGTTTTTAACAGTGGACGGTCCAAGTGCAAAAAGACATGTAATCGTTATCTTTTCTTCAAATCTTTTATATTCACTGTAATACCAAATATTTTGGTACTCTTTTCAATACTTTTTCATTTGAAATTCAAATATGATCACATTATTTCATGAACGTTTGGAGAAACTGTATCGTGAAAATTCAATAGATCATTCAAGCACATAAAGAACTATTCAAATTTTCAGTTGCTTTCCTTTATCTTCTAGTCCCTAGTCTCTGGCTGTAAATCGTACCAACTTGTGGATGATTTTGTCATATCGATTTCATTTAGATTCAAATGTAATTGACCCATTACATTGCTCCCAGTGGATAACCAACCCTTTTGGGTACAAACAGATACTTCCAATGTACGAGAATTTAAATCAGCTTGAGAAACAACGTATTCAAATTGCTCATCAAATACTGGATTACAATTATCCTTCATTACTGCTGTTTTACGTTTGGTTTCCTTATGGCGATCCGGAAGTAGATATAACTTTACATAAGGATCCGGTATATTATGTATATCATTTTGTGGCAGAGGTAAATTACTGTAATAATAAACATTCAATTAACATGTTATCAAACGTTTTAAGGTTTTTTATATCAATAATTTACTTACGCTATTTTATGCACAACGATTATAAGCTTTTGCCTTTGTACGCTATAACGTAAGGATAACTGTATTCGACCTAATTTTGATTCACCAGCGGATGATGTTACACTTAGATTTCTATGAATTAGCTTTGGGCTTTCAGTAATAGATTGATCAACACTAGCGACAATGAACTCTTCCTCTAATGGAGCTCGGTCTTCAGGTACAGCAGCTGCATCTGATCCAGTACTATGCGTTGCACTAATTATTGATTCTTTTGACGATTGTTTTTTCAATGGAGTAGGTGAAACTTAAAAAAGATATTACACTATTATTCTAATATTAATAGAAAGCTCAGAAGCCAATCAGTTCAAGTCGGTCTTTCACTAACTATTACAACACTTATGCTGTGCAAATATTTCATTAATAGACAATGGTATTTATACTGATTACAAAATTTTTTGCTAAATTATTAAGTAGAAAATCAGTGTAAGTAATCTATTATGTTTCTTCCTTGTATCTACATAGATATGGATACTTTTCAAAATCTCACTTTGGAGTCATCGAATCAAAAAGCGAAAAAAAAAAGAATTTATATATAACCGAAGTGATTATATTGTATTGTATTGTATTTTAATGATTAAAAACCTAATAATTCGAAATCACTTATTCTCACTAAAACGAAGAGAGAAAAATATTTTTCGGCTAAATATCTTGAAAGCTATCTAGAGTAGAAAAAGTGATAAATCCTGATGTAAGAGAAGATTCTACCACTCGTGTATAAAGGTTTACTTGCAAAGATTTTATTCAATATTTTTTAAAACTTCAGATTTTGAAACTTAAAAATTAAAATTGAACTCTAAAATTTGAATTGTGAAACTTTAAAATTCGAATTATGAAATTCCGAAATCTGAAGCTTGAAATTGTAAACTTTAAAATCAGATTCTTAAAATTTTGAAACTTTAATTTTTTAATCTTGATATTTTAAATTTTAATTTTGAACTGTAAAATTTGAAATTTCTGATCTCCGTTAACATATTTCATATTTTACATTGATTAGCTTCTGAGCCTGCCAAACAAGTAAATAATACACTTACAGTTTTTAGATGACATATTACTAATATTTGATTCCTGGCGTTCAATTCTTTTATTCAACTGGTTAATATCATGATCATCGTCATCTTCCTCTGATGTAGGTACAGGTTCCTCATACTTCAGAATCTGATAAAAATGAATTTTTATTATTATCTTTTACTATTTCTAAATTTATGTAAAAAATTTAACGAGATCATACATTTAATGACATAGAAAGTATTAACTTGCTATCTGCTTCAGCCATTTGCAGATCATAAGGCTGTTGTGGAATTTCTAAATTATTTTGTTTTAAAAGTAACGAGATATTGTAACTCATTTCTCCTACTATAAGACCAGTCTTTTCATCTGTAATCTAAAAATTAACATGTAATATGAGACATTAAATTTTTATCATGAAAAAGTAACATTTTTTTTCAAAAGTAGGTTTACGTACCTTTATATGCAAGATACCAGTTTCGGGATTGCTAATTAGAAAAGTAAAACCTTGTTCCCATATTGGATCAGAGGAACGTAACATGGTAGCGGTTCTTTTAATGGTTGCACCGACACTTGCTTCAAGATAGACATCAGGCTGCTTATTTCCTCGAACACACTGAAAATTTTACAATAATTTGAATTAGTCATGACCTTCCAGGTTCCCATCGTGATGAACCGCAATGTTTATGATACAATGGTAAAACAACTAGTAAGTGACATCACTCAAGTATAACATGCTAACTTTGATAAAAATTTCACCAATATATTTTGAAAAACTGTTTATACAGTTGATTGAAGTTGGCTGTCACGTTGGAACTATTGACAGTTTCAATAAGTAATATTTTTACCATAATTTCAAGTACCTAATACAGATATGTACAACAAGAAGTAAAATGGACACCAACGCCTGGGACAACCCGTGGGCACTTAATAATACCCAAATTGTTTTAAAATATTGAGGAAAATGTGTTTTTCATTTCGATCTTTGAGAACTGTTTTCACTTCGTAGATCTGAATGATTGCGAATAAGAACAACTACGTGTCGACTATTTTTCAGAGAATTATCTCAGATGCAAATTGTAATATAGCTGTTTTCTCTCAACTGGACGCTGTTTACTATTATAAATTAATCAAATTTATACATACTGGCAAATTCTTAGCTGAATCAACATAAAGAATGAGAAGAGCTGTACTCATTGATGTTACTCGAAGTTCCTGTGTTTCAATTAAAGCCTAAAAAAAAGTAAAAGATTAAAAGATTAAAAACTTTCAACATATTATAAGTTTATATTATATTAAAAATACATACAGTTTTCAAATCAGTAATATTTTTTGAAAACTGAAGCCATGTTAATCTTAAATGAATCATGCCATGTTTTGCTTGTTCCAATGAAATCCACTGAAAAAAATATATACTTGTTAATATATCTTATAATTACATTAATACTGTATTTCATACTTACTGTATCAATATTTCCCTTCTTTTTTACTCTGCTGACCTCAACCGTAGCCCTATATTCATAAAACAAATGGAAGTAGTATATTTAAAGTATTTAAAATATAGCTTAATATAAAATATGCTTAGCACTAGCATGACTACCTACATAAGTGTAGCTCAGGGTGGGCTTGGTTCTTTCATCATTCTCAAATTTTAAAATTCTAACGATAAGTATCTAATATTCCAAAATTTCAAAATATCAAAATTTCAGAATTTTATAAATCAAACATTCCAAAACTTCAATATTCTAGGATTCTAAAATTCTAGAATTCCCAATATCTAAAAATTCTAAAATACTAAGATTCTAAGAGTGTGGAAAGGGGAGGATGACCAAAGGAGTGGGAAACAGGGTTGATAGTGCCGATAGTAAAGAAGAGAGAGGAAGTAACGAGGAAGAGAGGAAAAATGTACGTGGTCTTTGTAGATATGAAGGCGGTGTTTAATTCTGCAAATAGGAAGATACTCTGGAGTAAGCAGAGGATTAATAGAGAGAGTGAAAGAGACTTATAAAGAGACGAAGGGCAAGGTAAAGGTGGGAAAAAGGGTAGGAGAGGAGTTTTGGACTGGACGAGAGATAGACAGGAATGCCCGTTTTTATGTAACTTACTGATAGCGGATATGGAAGAAGAGTTAGAGACGAAGGAGGAGGGAGAGGTAATGCTACGGGGAAAGAGGGTATTCTCGCTGGCATATGCGGATGACGTGGCACTATTAGCAGATGCAGAAAGAGGGTTGGGGATAATGATAGGGGTAATGACGGATTATTAAACAAAAACGGTTGGAAGTTAATAAAGATAAAACGAAGATGATGATATGTTAAAAAGGGAGAGGAAGAGAGAAGATAAGGGAAAGGAGATAGAACAGGTGAAAAGATTCAAGTATAATTTAGACTATGTGGTTAGAAGGAATGAGAGAATGGATGAGCAACTGAAGGATGGGGAGAAAAAATTGGGGGACTTGTGAAGTTTTAGTGTAGGGAATAGGGAAAGGAGATTTAGGAGGGATTGGGAAAGAAGAGTTATACCTCATATCACGTAAACCGGACAACTTTTAACGAAATTGGCTTTTAATTATGCATTTAGATTTTTTACGTAACTTGGTTAATTATTGTCCAACTTATGTCGCGTTTGGTTTCATTTTAATCGCAAAAATATAAGAAATCGATTGACGTCGCTTCCGCAAAGATCTGATAAAAAATGCGGAAGTTTGTATTTCTACAAGAGAAAACCATTTCCTTATTCGGACGGCATACCTGGTACGGGCACAGCCAGAAACACAGACATTCGGACCCTCAGTTGCACGGAAAGTTGTACAACTTTATTGCATAGTTTGAACGCGGCCTTGGGCTCTTCGATACACCGATGTGGCAGAGTTATGGGGATGGGAGGAATGAAAGAGGGTGGGAAAGGCACAGGAACAGTTTTTGTGGTGGGTTATGGGGCTGGAGTGAACAACGCCAGGATACATGGTAAGGGAGGAGCTCAAAAGGGGAAAGTTCAGGGTGGGAGCGAGGAGGAGAGCATGGAGATTTGAGGAAAAGTTGTAGAGGGGGGAGAGAAGTGAGTTGGTGAGGAGGGTACTGACGGAGGTGAAAAGAAGTGAAAGGGTATGAGGAAAATCAAGATAGGAGGAGGGAAGATGGAAGTATAGGGAGAAGAGAGGAATAGGGATAGGAATGAAAGCGGAGTTCAGAGCAGTAGAGAAATGGGAAGAAAGAAAGAAAAGGAGGAAAGGTGGAAAAGGATAGAGGAATCGAAATATAACCCGGGATACAAACTGTTGAGGGAGGAAGGAATCCCAAGTTATCTGAGGAAGGGATGGAGGAAGGAAAGATAAGGGAACGGCTTTAGGAGGTTGAAGTACTACTGGGAACAGAGAGAACCAACAAAAATTCCGAAAGAAAAAAAATCGCTCTTCTCTTGATTGGGAAAGTCAAAATCCGTTTCTTCATGGTGACCTCTTTGTCTCCATTTGCTCAGAAACATGTTTTTCATGCATTTGCAACTGGTTCTGACTAGTTATGGGGAATTTCACTGAATTTTGACTAACAATAAGTTGAAATTCCAACTTTGGATATTCATATCTCAGAAACTAAAAGAGTCTACCAAATAATATTGCAGGTGGTTACTGAGGGGGTCAAGGTCTACCAGCATACCAGGTTTGGTCAAGACGCAGGTGTCGGGACACGCTGTAGCGATATATTATAGCCTTTCTGATATTTTTTCCTGAAGGAAAAAATCAAGAGAAGAGCGAAAAGCTATGCAGAAAATGTGGATGGCGGGAGCAGTGGTGGACTCGAGTCTTGGGAGGATGCGAGGAAAATAGGAAGGAGGAGGAGAAAGGATGACAGGAAAGGAATAATGATAGGGAAGGGAAAGAATAGAAGGTGCAGGAAGGATTGAATAAACAAGAGAAAGGAGGAGAGAAGGAAGAAGGAGGGAGGAGAGGAGAGAGAGAGAGCGGAAAGTTCCAGGGGGAGGGGAGAAAAGCGAATGAGAGAGAATGTACTTACGTACACACATGCACGCACACACGCACGATAGCGCAAAAGATAGGCTAAAAAGATAAACTAAGTTAGGCTAACAAGATGTAATGAAAGAGATTTATGTAGAAGAAGCGAGGCAGAAGTCTTGTAACCCCGCAGGGGATCCAATAAAGACACACTAAAATTCTAAGAATCTAAAATCTTCTTGTAAAATCTTATTTTAATAGAAATAAATATTTTGGCTAAAATGTAATATCCCTCCCCCTCTCCCAATTCTAGCTATGTCAATGATGATTAGAATGTAAACTGTACATGAATGAGTATGATTCAATAATGCGGATATTTGAAATTGTATAAATATAAATTGTGGACATAATAAAACTTCAAAAACAAAGATAGAAATAAAATAATTGAAAAAACAGTGAAAAAAAGAAAGAGGTAAGAGCATAATACGAGTTTTATTTAAAAAAAAAAAAGAACCACTGTAAAGCGCGAACTCAAAAGTAACCCTTATCCGGGTATTTTTTATTTATGTAACGTTGACAGTCCGTCGATGTTGATTGTAATATATAAATGTCTCTTAAAATACAATAGTTTATATTATATAAATGATATGACATCTGAAAACATTAAAAGATAAACGATTATTTATATTCCATTGTTCTAGTCGGAGATCTTCTTATGTTAGATTAATAATTGGCAAACCGAATTTTTTATTTTAAGAAAAAGTTTTAAGTCATCTGTATATAATAAAAAAGGATAAAAATTATATGAACCATTATGTAAATTAAATAAGCATAAGTTCATTGGACTCGTCTTGACCGAATAAGGATTAAAATAAAGAATTATTAGAGAAAGCTCAAAATAAAAAATTATTCAATCACAGAAGACAGAACGTATATAAAATTATCATTATAACTTGAGGTAATTATTTTTATATAAACAGAGGGTTTCTCAATAAAGGTACATAAGATCAAAATTGTATGAGAAATTCAACTTCTTATATATTTAATTTATTTCCAATTCCACTTTGTTATATTATACTACTGTTTTCATTTCAATGATTCTTCTAATCATTTTGAGGTTAAGGTAATATTTTTTATTGGTATCGTAAATAATTACTACTTTAAATATAATGCTACTATCATTCTGTGTTAATCTTCCCTCTGAAATACCCTCTATACAGGGTGTTTTACAAAGTCGGGAAAAATCAAGGGATAGTTCTAGAAGTCAAAATAAGATGAAAATAAAAAATGACAAAATATATAACGTTCGTCATTCTAACGTTAAAAAATTCAGGCAGAATTTGCTGTAGTAGTAACAATATTCTTTTGCGAATATCTCACAAACTAATCGAGTTCGACATAGCTTAGAGTAAAAAAGTTGCTTAAAATGAGCAATTTCTAAAAGTTCACCAATGTTTTTATTCGATATCTCAGCAATTAATAAGCTGATGAAGATATCTCTTTATAGTTGGGGTCCTCTACTCCCTTTTTATAATTATTTATTACTTGCAAACTGCAAATAATAAAATTTTTCATTTTTCTTCGCAAGAAAAAGGGTTTAGCAGTATAAGCGTAGTAAATCAGTCCCAGTAACAATTTCGGTTGATATTTATACCACATATTGCTTGTTGTCTAAAGAACAACTGTGAGCAATTCAACATCCACCCACCCTAATAAGGGAGATACGAGGGTAACAACCCTAAACTTTACTATTTTTTTCTTGGAAACTGTTTAAGATATTTGATCACACTAAAGCGTAAATAGTATGTAGTCATTAACTATATTTCATATATTTTTTTCAACACTTTTATCCGATGTTTAAGGGTTGAAAATTAATAAATAAACTTTTGAGGTTGATTTTTACAAACAACCCCTTAAGTGACACCCACTGAAAAAATTAAGAACAATCCTTTATTACTTAACTATTATTTGTAAAAGTTTCAAGAGTGTCGGATTGATACAACATGGTTAAAAAAAAAGTAATAAACCAATGCAACGCTCCGTCATAAAGCAAAGCCAGGCTGAACGTTAGTGGCGATCAAAATTGTTGCTGGGGCCGAATCACTATGCTTATATGGCTAGACCCTTTGTCATTTTCGGATCGTACATTATTTTCAGCCCCCCCCCACATTTGCATATTTTTATCAAACTTTTTCACATGCACTATGCATATAATTTATAATAACATACAAAGAAAAATATTCTTCTAAACTATAAATGTTTCTATATTATATAAGGGCTTTTAAGTGCATTCTATGCTTGGATAACTACATATAGGTACTTGTTACCAGCAGCAATACCTGCCAAGTGGATCATCTTGACCAGCATTATCTTTATCAAAGATCTTGGTAAGCACCATGTTGTAGAAAGCTCCCAAGCTCTTTTCCACTATAAACTGTTATACAATCTACTTCAGTTTTTTTGGCATCAAATATAATCACCTACCGACTCATAAAATAAACAACTGAAGTTTTAAAAATCATTTTATAAGATTAAGTCTTGATCGAACCGTCGCGTCGTAGTG